CTCCTATCTGGCGTAAAAAAGAACGCAAATGAAAATTTAAAGTTTCATTCACAGTTGTTAATGGGCCTAGAAAGTGGAACAATGGATACTTTCCTTCTGTTTCATTTCTGAATAACAAATTTAATATTCCTTTCTCTTTATCTGTTCATTAAGGTTCGTAGATGGACGATCTGAAAAGTTGCGATGATAAGCAACTGAAATAAAGATGGAAGAAATACGAGTAACAAAGAAAAATCTCCAAAACGCAAAACGGACAGTTCTTCGTTTAATAATAAATGCGATATTTAAGCAAATATTAATGATGGCGATGCAGCGAGTTCATGGAAAATATAGAAGGAATGTTACATGGTTACATATGGCCTTTTAAAACAGGCGGTTACCATAGCTTAATCAATAAAGCAGTTGTTACGTTAAGACAGGCTTTTTGAAGAAAAACGAATGCGAAATCTCATTTATTTTCAATTTCCGATCAACTTTTTTTTTTAATAACGACTGTATGACAGTTTAAAATTAAAATGAATAAAATGCAAGTAAAATAATAATAATAATAATAATCCTACAAAACTAAAACAATTGGGCTTCAAAGATACCTGAAAACTACAGAAGACTAGATGATGATATGTGTCAAAGAACATGAAAGTAGTAAGCGTCTTTATTCCGTAATAAAGGAAGCCAACAAGTTCAAAATGGAATTTCAAATGGGTGCAGAAATACAAGTAAAGTACAATACATCGACTGAAGCTGAAAAATACATAAAAAAGAAAGCAAAAGCAAATGCAACCGACTAGATACGATTGCAATGGTCAATACTCTGCCCGTACCAAAGAAGCTGATGTAGACAAACCCCGTACCCATCAGTGGCAACGTAGTGCAGGGTTAAAAGCTGAGACCGAAGGTTTCATCCTTGCTGCACAAAACCAATGCTTGCTAACTAGAAATTATCAAACACACATACTAAAATATTGTGTTAGCCCAAAATGAAGATTCCGTGATAAACATCCAGGAATAATTGATCATCTTGTATCAGGTTGCAAGGTATTGGCACCCTCTGAATATAAAACCCGGATTGACAGAGTGGTCCAATATCTGTACTGGAAAATCTGCAATTTCTAAGGGGAGGAAATTAAAAGAAATCGGTATGAACATCATCCAGGCCCGGTTACGGAGATAGGACCTGTAACAATTTTATAGGACTACACAATATACACCGAGAGAACAATCAAAGGTAACCACTCAGACAATGTTATTAGAGACCACAAACACAAAAAATACCTCCTTATTGATATGGCAGTCCCTGTAGACTGCAATACATCTTTGAAGATCTTCACAAAACTATCAAAATACAAGGTCGTTGAAATCGAAATCTCAAAAATGTAGCACATGGGAACATAAAAAATCCCTGTTGTAGTTGGAACCCTTGAATTGGTTGGAAAAGATTCCAGTAGACTCATTGAAGGGATTCCTGGAAGCCCATACCTTAAAGAAATACAAAATGTGTTCTCATGAGTACAGCTCACACCTTACGAAGGGTGTTATCTATATAAAATATGTGTGTGTGTGTTTTTTTAAATGGTCAGTGGAAAATGTCATGATGCCATTTCTGACCCGGTAAGAAATGTTTACACACCAAAAATCGAAGGAAATAAAACAACAACAACAACAACAAGAATAATAATTCTGAGCAAAAAGAAGAGAAAGTAATCAACTATGATCCATTGTGGTTTGAACACGCAAGGCTTTAGAGTTGAAGAAAAGCACAATCATTTCGGTTGCCAGTGGCACATTTGATACTTTGACATGCAAAATTGAGACATGAATAAAGAAAATTGAAAATAATTGCCTAGTGAAACTGTTACAGATAGGAACCGTCTTGGGAACGTCAAGAGTAATAAGGAAAGTGATGAACTTTCAAAGTCAGAGGAAAAATTGCATGATACCTAAGGTTGCCGGTTATTTGTAGAGTAATTATTTATATTTCAGCTTTCTTTAAGTAAACAATATTTTAAATACTTAAAAAATATGTTTTGACATTTTCAAGTGAATATGATTTAAAAATATTTAGTTAATAATATTTAAGTTAATCTGATTTAAAGTTAAAGTTTTTCTCGGATTTTCTATTCCTATTAAATGCTGTAAACAATCAGTAAAACATTAAACATGAACTTGTAAACCAAACCAATGATGACAAGAACGAATTGAAATATTTAACTGAATCATAATAAAATTAACTTTCATTTCAATGGAACGTTAAAATGAACTTCAATGTTTTCTAACCTGAAACGTCAGTGACCCAACCGTCCACGGGTAGTCTAGTAATAACTAATAATAATCCTATCAGCATGGCTGATGCTAGATGCCAGGAGAGCAACAAACTGTTCCTTCTTGGCCTCATGTTTTCCTCTGACATGAAGAAGAGTGACTATATCGAATCAATAGCTGCATCTACTGCAAGGAAAGTTGGGTCTCTGTGTAGTACTAGAAGATTTTTCTCGTCAGAATCCATGTTGCACATTTATAAGTGTTCCATTCGTCTGTGTATTTAATACTGTTACCATATTTGGTGTGTTGCTCCTGCTGTGCATCTCGAGATTCTTGACAAATTACAAAGAAGGATCTGTAACGTAATCGATCCTGACCCAGCATCTCGCCTTCACATCGATGTAATGTGGCTTCTCTTTGTCTTTTATGCAAATATTTTCATGGCAACTGCACTGACGAGCTCCCTACCCTGGTGCCCCGACCACACTTTTACTGTTGAAATAGCTAAATAAAACCGCTACGTCTACCACAACAATTTCATTTTGCGCACTTCCCGCCTGTGGAACTCCTTTCCGCTTTATTCTTCCCTGATAACTACAATGTTCAAAAATTTAAGTGCAACATCAATTGCTATCTTCTGTCATCTTAAATCCCCCCTCATCTTTTGTCCTTTCCCCAATCCTCCCTATTCTCAGTCTTTTCTTTCAATTTCATTCCCTGTAACCTCCTGCGTACTAGTGGCATTCCTGCTTAGGGGGAAATGGTTAAGAAAATAATAATAAACCCTTAAAACGCATGAAGATAATTACATATACAAATTACTAACGCCCCACCCATGTGGAACAAATAAAATGCCAGGAGAGATCCACAAGATTTGCACAAAGCTATTTGAGTCAACCGATGGAACATTTCAAAACGAGCACATCCCCATCATGTTACTCTCGTTTAAGTTGCATTCTATTCACGCTGGCTACGCTTCATTTGTTTCGTTGCGTTGATTACCAGTAAAAGACAAGTGACGTCTGTAAAAAGAGTGACGTTTTTCTCAAAACAAAATGATGTTTGTTAAAAGACTTGTACTTAAAAGAATATTTCTTATACTTGTATTTTACAGGCATATCACGTTGAAACGTTGTTCCCGTACGATCACCAAAATTAAGCAACGTCGAGTCTGATCATTACTTAGATGAGTAACCGCTCGGGAATACCAGGTGCTGAAAAGCTTGGATGTACTGGTGGAATCATGGACAATGGCTCGGGATTGTTAATCGGAGAGCCAAGTTCCAATAACCTTTGGGTTCGTTATATTTATTTATGCGCAAATACCTTTGGGAAAAGAATGCTTGCTTCTTTTCTCCTACCCCTGGTGTGGGTTAATTAGTAAAACGTGTATCACTAAAAAAATATCTCCAAAAAATAAACTCCCACAATCTAAAAATATTTTATGGTTTTAAATAATCTGAAAAGTGTTGATAAGCTGTAAAAAATGAATGCATCATTCAGTCAAGATACATGTACAAAATTATTACACCTAACTTGAAGAAGATAGACATGCTGTCAAAATATTGTTAAACATTGTTAAACACTGTATTTTCTTGAATCACGCTCTTTTTTATGTGTAATAATAATAATAATAATAATAATAACAAAAACGTGGAAATTGAAAACAAGAATAGTACCAGTCATAGTAGGTGCGCTTGGAATGATAAAAAAGGAACGCAACAACACATTGAAAAAAAGCCCTAGAAAACCCAGCTTAAGAAAAATACAACAAATTGTTTTGATAACTACGGCCCCAGGTAGTATCTCTCCTTCAGAATGGGGCTGGGTTTATTGCTCGGCGCCTGAGGCTTCCCCAAAAGGAGAAGTGCCAAGTGGGATTTGTGCAATTTTTCCACGGTATTGTCGTTAAACCTATTTTAAACTGACCTTGTGTCACATTCAGTAGCGACGTGGAGGCATTGAAAAATACCCGCTTCTCGGTCTTTTTGCTGAGATCAAAGCGTAGTATCTGTTATTATGCGCTTAATCTGATTCTATCTTCCATTTGTTCTTTTCCTTTCTTTCATTTTCTCACTGAAACCAAGTAGCGTTTTTCCCCTCTTTCCACGCGATCAAAACGAAGTTGTCCAATATTTCCCAGGTATTGGTAGGGGCTATCATTCGTGTGCGCCAACGAAAGGAGGGACAAACATAATAATAATAATAATAATAATAATAATAATAAATATGGCACATGAGAACATTAACAATTCCAGTTGTCGTTGGAGCTCTTGGATTGATTGGAAAAAATTCCAATAGACTCATTGAAGGAATCCCTGGTAGACCATGACTTAAAGAAATACAAGAAATTGTGCTCATAAGTACAGCCCACACCTTAATAATCTGCAAAGGGTTGATAAGCCTACCTTTATCTATGTAAAATATGTGTAATTTCTTTTTCAAAACTGCTCGGTGGAAAATGTCATGGTGCCATTTCTGACCTTAGGCGGGACCCGGAATGAAATGAGTACACAACTGAAATCAAAAGAAATAAAACAACAACAAGAACAACAACAAGAACAACAATAATAATAATAATAATAATATTAATAATAATAATAATAACATTTTAAACTACAATGCGAAAATTTGTCTTTTAGTTTCAATGAAGATGGAAGTCGTTCTAAGAAGAAAGATAAAAAAATCTGTATTGGATTTCCGATTTCAAATGTCTCCCAACGTAAAGAATTAAGGAAATTATGTTTTCTTTTCTTAAAACCAGTCAACCTCTATTTCGCAGACTGAATTTGGAATATGAATCCAACTTCATCGCTGTCTCCATCCACCAACCAAAAGAAAACATCCTCAGATTCCCGCCCTCTGTAGAATAGCGCTTCTTATAATCACGCTGAAACCCACAAGCGCTTTTCAATATTGTAAATAAGCCACACACACACACACACGTACGCACGAATTAATTGCAGCTTTTTTAAAAATTTAATGCTGACAGTTATTTTATGAGTAATTTAAAGTTTAAAGCGCCCAAAGATGTGATCATTTAACATGGCTTTTGTTAGAAAAGTAAAGAAAATAACCAATGAAGCGTGACGTATTTTTCTCACCGAATTAATAATGAAACATGTTGACATAAAACATTTTCACGTCGTTATTCGTTCATTCATTTATCTTCATTTGTTTATTCATTCAATCGATTTCTCTTATATTTTCCAGTTTATTTCTTTCCTTTTTACTTTCTTTCATTCTTTCACTCTTTTGATGTGTTTGTTCCGATTATTTCTTTTTATCGAGTTATTCTTTCTTTTTCTTTCTTTCTTTCTTTCTTTCTTCGTTCATTCTTTCGTTCGTTCATTCTTTCGTTCGTTCATTCTTTTTTTTATATATATTTTCACTTTTCATTCATTTTCTCTAGCTGATATTTTTTCATTCAGGCGATCTTTCGATCTTTCTTTCTTTCTTTCTTTCTTTCTTCGTTCATTCGTTGGTTCGTTCGTTCACTCTTTCTTTTTATATATTTTCACTTTTCATTCATTTTCTCCAGCTGATATTTGATGTTTAAAATACTTCATGACTTCTGAAGAGTCATCAAGTAGCCTCCAGCTAATATTTTTCATTCAGTCGTTTGTTTGTTTGTTTGTTTGTTTGTTTGTTTGTTTCTTTCTTTCTTTCTTTCTTTCTTTCTTTCTTTCTTTCTTTCTTTCTTTCATTTTTTAGTTCATTCGTTCGTCCATTCCTTCTTCCCTTCTCGTTTCTATTTATTTTCATTTTTCGTTTATTTTTTCCAGTCGTCATTTTTTCAGTCAGCCAAACTTTCTTTTTTTTTTGTTAATATTTTCTAAGCTGTGCTTAATTCAATACAGAGCCACAAGGAAGTAAATTGTGGTATGTTCAGTCTGAGGTGGAACAACTTAGTCAACCACTGAGTAAATTTTATTTCCTTTAATGATTTTCTCGCTTCTTTTCCGAGTTTCGTTTTCTTTCTAAACTGTTTCCACTTTCCTCTCCTTTACACTTTCATATATTTTTTAATTCACCATTTTTTCACTTGTTTTTTTTTATTCTATCCCTTTTATATGTGCATGAGTCATAAATTACGTGACTCTATGAGAGGAATGCATGATATTAGCCAGAGCAAACCAGGTCTTAAGAAAAAGGGTAATGTCCTTAAGCATTGTTTTATGGTTCTTATTAGAAGCCATTTATTCAAAAACAAAATCGCCATTGGATACAAATTCGAACAGAAAAACATTCCTTTCTTCCACTTCTGAAGAGTCATCAAGTAGCCTCCATATTTTCATCATTTCTGTCCGTGATGTAATCTTAGGAGTTATATCGTTCGGCTGGATGCCAGAAGAAAACGGTTTAAATCTATTTTTTTAAACAACAATTTTTCATTTTTTAACAACATGTTTTCATTTTTTTAAACATCTCTTCATTTTTAACATTTTTTAAACAACATTTTTCATTTTTTTTAAACAACAGCTATTCATTTTTTAACCATTCTTCATCTTTTTAAACAACATTTCTTCATTTTTAACATTTTTTCATTTTTTTTAAAACATCTCTTCATTTTTCAAGAACCTTTTTTCATGTTTTAAGCAATATTTCTTCATTTTTAACAACATTCTTTCATTTTTTAACAACATTTTTTTAAAACATCTATTCATCTTCTTAAACATCTCTTCATTGCTTTGAACAACATCTCATTTTTTAACAACATTTTTTCATTTTTTAAGCCACATCCCTTCGTTTTTTTAACATTTTTTCATTTTAAAGCAACATCTCTTCATTTTCTAACAACATTTTAAAACATCTCTTCATTTTTTAACAACATTTTTTCATTTTTTTAACAACATCTATTCATTTTTTAAAACAAATTCTCTTCATTTTTCTAAACATCTCTTCATTTTTTTAACAACATATCTTCATGTTCTTTTTAATAACGTCTCTTCAGACGGCTGACTTTGTTTAGGGGCAGATCAACCTCTATGGGTTATTTAATGCCGAAATCTAAATATTTTGAACCTAATTTTATGGCTTCAGCTACAGATAAAATGTATTTTTATCATTTTTCTATAAAATCTATTGTTGGTAATTGTACTATAAATTCTCTTGCTGGTCATTTTACTATATATATGTACTGTTGGTTATTTTACTATAAATGTGTGATGTTGGAAATGTTTTATATAAAACATGTATTGCTGGTATTTTTACCATCAAAATTGAATTTTTATACTTTCATCGTGTTTTGCGTTTGATCAGGGGTTCACTATTTATCCATAGCTGGGTTCCTAACAGGTGCTACGGGTTAGGGGTGAACCTGGGAATAGCAGCAATTAAAAGGTGGTTCTATGCTCTTCAAAACCTGCAATTTTCCGATCAGAGGCCTTGCTGCCGGATGTATTTCATCGTCATACCCAACACTATATATATATATATATATATATATATATATATATATATATATATATATTATAATATTTTAAAAAAAATATGATTCCTTCGCTACATAAGAGTTCTCATGTTTCAAAAACGAGAGCCGAAACCATCAATATAGTTATTAAAATTAGGTTTAATCAAGGTGTTGGGTCCCGTTTCATCCTCAAGCGAAAATTTAGGAATAATCTATCTTTTGGTTTGCGCGTGTTTATAAGTATGGTCCATTGCAACATTAATTGCTATGGAAACGGCTGGGCCGCCCATCTTGGTTAGGTGGTCAGACAGTTAATTCTTATCTACAGGTTCGTCACCTTCGGAAAGGTTATGCCAAGGTAGAGTGGGGTATCTATTTTAAAGCTAATAGTGGCGGTCACCGTCTAGTTAGTTCACAGCGAAGGAATGTTTCATGGCGCGACGTCAAGTCGTTAAGTGTTGAGAGGATTTTGTTTTATTATTATCTATCTGTTAATATCTTTATTTATTTTATTCAAATGGCTGTTCCGTATACAAACTTGTTGCACTGAACTACAATTTGTTTTTTGACGACTTCACAAAGGTTTTTTTTTTCTATTTAATGATTTGGCTAAGCTTTTAAGACTTTTATTAAACTATGGAATTTATTTATTTATCTATTTTTTATGCTAATTATTTCATGCAAAAATTTGTTGATGTCGGTAAAAAACCGTTAACTCCTGCCTATGGTTTAATAACTTTTATGGAGCACTGTCTTCTTGAAAATAAAAACAAAAATACTAAGGAACTCCGGATTATTTACCTGACGTGTTCCTTCCTATTTTTCTGCATACTTGCGTATATATATATATATATATATATATATATATATATATATATATGAAAAGTAAGAAATAGCTAAAAAAATAAGTCCTGTGTATAATAATAATGCAACAGCAATGCAAAATCAAGCAACAGACAAAAAGAACCCGCTTGGAAGGCGAAATTAAAGTGATAAACTGTTCCATCATTCATTTACTCAAGCACATTAAGTATGTTAATGCGTTACTTTCGTCTGTCCCTTTTGCTTTCAATCTGCTCTGAGAGTATCTGATTTTCCAAGCCCTCTTTCCTCATTATATGTCGTAGAAATTTCAGCCGCCTCTTCCTGTTATCAAGTATATTTCCTTTTTGTTTCCTTTATTTCTAAAACTTCGTCGTTGCTCACATGTTATGTCCATTGTATCCTCAGCATAATTCTGTAGAACCACATTTCTGTTGCTTCATGTATCTTCTTCATCTTTGATGAGATTGTCCAGCATTCACTGCCATGCAGAAGGATAGATATCATGTAACAGTACAGTGCTCTTTTCTTGGTTTCTAACGATTTAAATATTAAATTCTCCAAGCCTTATAGGAGGACTAATATTACATAAGAGTTTAGTCCTCTTTTTCTGTTTCTTAATACTTTGCTTGGTTTTTGGAAGCCATCTTTTGCTATTCCAATGCACCTTCGGATTTTGGTGTGACATTTTCCATCCTTTGTTAAAATACTTCCTATATATTTCGAACTTGCATGTTTTTGACATCTCCAATTTGTACTTCCTATCTTGAGTTGTCCCTTTTGCTGACAACCATCCATTCTATCTTATTACAATTGATGCTTAATCCTTTCTTCTCGCTTTTCTTTACTACCTTCTATAGGAGTTCCTGCAATTTCCTTTCTTTGCTACCAACACTGTCATCTGTTTATCTTCTTTTGAGTTAAGATTGTGTCTGCCAAAATTATATATCCTCATTGAACTATTCCTTCTTTCAGCATTGCCTAAAAAATTAAAACTGAAATATTGCAAAACTGAATAATAAATATCCCTCACTGACAACCCACTCCCAGCCATCAACTGCACTCAAGATCATAGACTTAGTGTGAATACTACCTTCCATAGCTGTATACTGTGTGCTACATATGGTTTTGGATTCAGAGATGTTTTTGTTGACTGGGTGACAACCACAGCTAGAATGCCCAGTCTGTTCTATTTTACACAGTGCTAGATTGGCAGCACTCTCTTATTTTATAGTAGAAATGGCTAGATGTAGCAGCGAAAGTGTTGAATATTTCCTTTGACTTCTATGTGCTATGTCCCTTCAATACCTCGTCAGTCATGGCTCTCCACAATTTCCTATCCTCTGTAGCTCTTAGCAAGGTTTGTTTATCATTATCATTCTCAATCTCTATTCTGCCATTCATTTCCACAAGTTCATTCGGTAGATTATGAACTGCTTTCCTCTATCCCTCTTGCTTTCAGTAAGTTGTGTAAGTGTTACATTCTCCAAGCTCTATTTCTGAGAAAAAGTGCTCGAGAAATTTCAAAAGTCCCTTTCTGATTCTAACTATAAACATCTTTTTCGTTTCTATTATTGTTATATGAGAATAAAGTATCACTGCCAATACTTGGGTTTGAACACAGATCACCAGAGAGTAAGCACAAACGAGCTCATCTTGAAATAATTAGATCACGTGACAGGTAACATAAATATATATATATGGGAATTAGTAGCATCTGACTGGGTTAAAACCACAGCTGGAATACTCAGTCTGTTCTGCTACTTTACACAGTGCTAGATTGGTAGCACTGTCTTATCATTTTACAGTAGAAATGACTAGATGTAGCAGTGAAAGGGTTAAAAGTGTTGAATATTTCCTTTAACTTCTATGGGCTCTTCACTACCTCATCCAATTTCCTGTCTTCTGTAGCTCTTAGTAAATTTTGTTTATCGTTATCATTCCCAGTCTGTTCTGATATTCATTTCCACAAGCTTATTTGGTAGATTATGAATTGCTTTCCTCTGTCCCTCTTGCCTTCAATAAGTTTTGTGAGTATTAAATTCTCCAAGCTCTCTTTCTGGAAAAAAGTGCTCGAGAAATTTCAAAAGTCCCTTTCTGATTCTAACTATAAACATCTTTTTCGTTTCCATTATTGTCATATGAGAATAAAGTGTTGCTGCCGATACTTGGGTTTGAACACGGATCGCCAGAGAGCAAGCACAGTCGACCTCATCTTGAAATAATTAGATAACGGGACGGGTAAAGGAAAATATATATATGTGAATGTTGCAGTTTTTTGGGTATTATGTACTAGTGAGCCAGTCAAAATGAGCTGACTCTTTTTATAGTTCACCAATAGAAGGGTTAACCAATCAGAAAGCTCAAAATATTCAATCCGACGTGTATAAAGGCAGACATTTTGTTTTTTTCTCCCAAAAATATCTTCACTACTAACCTGATATGGAAGACTTAAAGAATTAACAGCCGCTACTTTCTCCGAATCTACACTGCCAACCTCTGATATTGAAGAGATTTACGGACTTCACTGGATTCCATATTCCGAGGCTACGGCAAACATAGTCAACAGAGAATTAGCAGCGTCTGACCGAGTATTGTTCGAAG